AAAATTGATGTATGAAAATGTGAAAAATAGAAATATATCAAGTCGATATTTTTCTACAAATATATGTGTGTATGTGTGTGCTAGTGTGGGTGTGTATGAAAATATCTTAAAGCTGTCTGTACAACTATACAAGATCTAATTGAGATTAGTCAATGAGATTGATGATTCACTGAAAACATTATTTATTTTTAATGGATAAATTGTTTAAAAATAGACTGTTTACCCTACCTAATTCATGTCATGGCTGATGTGAATGTAAAAACAGCACGATGATCGTAGTAAACAAATAGCATTTGTATACATTGGCTATTTTGATTGGAATTTGGACTCCTCGTATTCGTCGTCTTGAATTGTGTTTTAAACTTCACTAACGTTTTTACCGATTCAAAAATGCTTTATATAAGTATAGAAAAACTATTTGCTCTTATAAAACATCGACTGCTTGTGAATAGGCATATATATGAATAAATCTCAGAAAGTTTTAAGTTTTATGTCACTGGACAATATTACACCAATTCCATTCAATCTTTTTTTACTTTTTTTATTGTAATATATTCAATACGTCAAGTTTTAAGTAATTTATCATGTTTATAATGTTATATTAATGCCAATATTTAATTACCAACGTTGTTTGGAAGAAAATTATCAAAAACATGTCTATTTAATGTGTCACTTTATTAAATCGAAAAGAGTTTTGATAGTGTAACTTGTTCAGCATTGCTTTTATTTTATTGAAACTTTTCTTAATAATAATTGACTATAAAATAAATATAATACAAGACTTAAAAAGTGTGTGTTATTAAAAAAAAGAAAATGGCGGAAGCTCCAAAATGTATCCCTCATATTTACAAGGTTTAAAAATTACATAGTTTTTCTTGTATAACTTTTTCAGCATATCAAAATGTTATTTTTAACAAAATACACTATATTCTTTATTGAAAAAAAAATAATTTGACACCTGTAAATAGTTTGTGCATTAAAATTTGAACGAGATACACTAACTTATATTTTTTTAAATGATGCGAAACTTTTTTCAAAATACAAGTATTTTTGATAGCACATCTTCATTTTAATGTTAATGAGTATAGTAAAGTGTGTTCCTTTTTTGTATTCATATAAGAAATCATATGCTACGTCGCTAAATTCAACAATGCATTATATCAGCATCTGTGCGATATTATATTATATCACTAAATTTGGTTTTGCTTTTGCGCAAAGATTTTCTATATGTTTACACGTGTTTGTCATAGATTAACGCGTATGCGTGTATTTATTCTCAGGCACACATACTGGATATATATTAGTGTGTGTGTGCATGCGTGCGCGCGCGTGCGTGTAGCGTGTGTGTAGGAAATCCGAAAACAAAGTCAACCTTTTCAGTTAATGGTAAATAACAGTGGTGGCAAGTAATTTCTTGGGAACGACAACTGAAGCGCCGATCATGTGTATATATATACTGATGTCTATACTCGCTCGTGGACACATAAATATTGGGAAACATCATTTCGAGAGCGACCTTTGCTGCAGAAGTTTAATTTTTCATACCATGGAAAAGTACGCAAGTAGTGCTAAGACCAAAGTTAAATTAAAAGAGTTTATGATGAGTAAAAAAAACTTCGAGTGTAAGAAAAGGCTTTCCAGCAGTATTAGTGATATTATTATCAGTAATTAGTGACAATTTGTGATCAATTATTTCTGCTTTTCAACAATGGGTTAGTATTCGGTATTTTTCTAGTAGTTAACTTAAAGCAATAATAAAATTTTAAAATATACTTACAAAAACTTTTAATTATTTTGTATAAAATATTTATAGATGAATTAAAGCTTAAAAAAAGACAATATATGTCGAAAAAACGTGCAGATGCTGCAATAAAAAAAGCATTTGAATTGAATCGAAAGCGAAAATACAATGATGATATTAAACAGAAAAATAGTAATCAGACGCTATCAAAAAATCTAGAATTAATAAGTATTAAATTTTAACTATGATAGTATTTAACTATTATTCTATGTTTCTTTAATTAATTAATATTAATTATTCTTTATAAAATTTGTATTTAGTGTTAATATTGATAATGAACTTAAAACAGTAACTCGTCAAAGCGTTAATAGGGAAACTAGAAATAGTGTTAATATTTACAATGAACAGAAAAGAATAACTCGTCAGAATTTTAGTGGAGAAACTAGAAATAACGAGAAAAATAATGTGCCAGCAAAACGTGACATAATAACCGATGTTGCATCTGATAATACTATGGATAACTTTTGTACAGAACCTTTGCCAAATGTAATATTTGAAAATGAAACTGAAGTTATAAGGTAAAGTAAAAGAAAGTATTATATTATATCATAATTCTACATAGAAAATTAATTGTTAAAATGTTGTAACTGTTTCTTTTAAACAACAATTTCAGCGATAAATTGTATTATCAGACCAACTTGGAAACTCGCGAAACTCCATATAGTAATACTATGCCTGAATGTTTGTCATCGCCCTGTAAAGTGAATAACTGTAATGTTCTTAAAAAGAGAAAGGAAATAAATACAATTAAAGCAAGACAGTTAAGATTACGCAGAGAAATAAAAAAGTTACATAATATTATAAAAGATAAAAATAAAACTATTAATTTATGGAAAAAAAATATTACAGACAGTTAAAAAAAACTATGCAGCAAACTGAGGGTGATGTACAAAATAATGTTAAAAAATCATGAATAAAGGAGAAAAGTGTATAAAAGAAAAATTGATAGAGCACGAAGTATTGCAAAAACAGCTGACAGTGATTAAAGAGAATTTAACAACTGAAAAAGAAAAATCTCTGTTTGCTTAATTAACATGTTCTGGAAAAATTACAAAAAAGTATCGGCAAATGAAGAAAACTTCCGAATTTCAAAAATTTGCGAATAGAAAATCTGTAATTTTTCAACGAAACAATATTAATAAAGAAAACAAGATTAAGCTCACGACTGAATGTGTTACACAATTTTTTGAAAGAGACGACAATTCAGCATTGGCACCTGGTAGGAATGATACAACTACGAAAAATGGTGTGAAAAAAAGAAAAAGGTTCTTACTAGATACTGTCGATGCTTTGTATGAGAAATATAAAAAAGTGTCCCCTATTAAAATGTCACGAGCTACTTTTTATCGGTTGAGACCTTTTTGGGTTATATCTAGAAAAATTACATCAAGAGATACTTGTATGTGTAAAACGCACACTAATATGGCACTTTTGTTGGAAAAATTGGCACATCTAAAATTAATTGAGAGCAAATCATTAAGCAAATGTATTATTTCTCGGTGTTGTGATAGCGATAGTAAAGATTGCATGTACGGTAGTTGTCCTGTTTGTAAACAGAAAACGTTGCTTCTACTAATTGTCACGAGGAGACATTTTATTATAAATGGATAACACGTGATGTTGAAAGAATTGGATAAAAAAATAAGACTTTCAAAGTTAAAATAACATCAAGAGAAAAAATTCTGTGTACTACTGATGAATTAATTAAAGACGTAAATCGCAGTATACCTGATTTTTTAAAACATGCATATGATGCAAATCATCAGTACAAATGTATTTCTTCTATAAAAAATAATTTAAAAATAAATGAAGTTTTCGTAGTTGTTGACTTTTCGCAAAATTATTTATGTAAATATGCCAATGCCATTCAAAGTGCACATTTTGGTGCATCAAAAAAACAGATCACATTACATACAGGTGCATATTATTATACAGACTCAGAATCAGGTGTAGTTAAATGTGTATCTTTCTGCACGATTTCAGAAAGTTTAAGACACGATCCATCAGCTATTTGGGGTCACCTGACCCCCATTCTACAATCTATAAAAAGTGCTTTACCAAGGATAACAATTTTTCATTTTCAAAGTGATGGGCCAACTACCCAATACAAGAATAAAACAAATTTCTTTTTATTTCAACATTTTTGTAATACTTCTGATCTTCAGTACGCTACGTAGAATTATACGACACCAGGACATGGTAAAAGCAGCGCTGATGGGGTTAGTGGTACAATAAAAAATTTATATGATCGAGAAGTTGCAAATGGTAAAGACGTCTTATCAGCGCAAGATGTACTAAATGAACGAAACACAGTGGTGAAAACTTTTATTATTTCTCAAGAAGATATAAAACATATTGATTTGTTCCTGAAAATAAAATTGAAAGCAGTACCCAACACATTAAAAATTTTTCAAATGATATGGATAAAAGAACATAAAAGCAAATTATTTTTTCAATCATTAATTTGTTCATACTGCATTTTTAATGGTCTGTGTAATATGCCGTGTAATCATTTTCCGTTAAAAACTGGAAGCTGGTCTTTTCAGGATGGCAACAAACATACTTCACAGAAAACAAATAGAAAAAAAACGGTAACAAAAAATCTGTAAACAAAAGAAACAAAAAAAAATTCTAATAGAAAACACTGTAAATAAGCGACATAATCACATGATTAAACGAACTTACTTGTAAGTGAAATTCTATCATGATTGTATGAGCCTCTTCCGAAATGATAAAACATGTAGTCCCTTCGATTCCTATCGACCTGGCCGAATTTCCACAAAGTAAAAAGCTCGCAAACCGCTGTGAAGCTAGGTATTGGTGTCATGCACTCTCTTGTTATCAGGCGAGCGGTGACGTTTCCTCAGTAGTTTAAAGCTCCCCCGTAACGTATAAATTTTGGGATCTCGAAATTTTCGAGATAATGGGAAGTACTGGGTTGGAGTTTTATCATTTTGGAGGAGGCTCATACAATCATGATAGAACTTCACTTACAAGTAAGTTCGTTTAATCATGTGATTGTATAGCGCCTCTTCCTCATGATAAAACATGTAGCTGTTTAAAGCAGTTACGGCGCTCAATAATGTGCGTATGCATATTGCACTTGATTCATCCTTGTTAATATTATCAACTGATAAGAATGAGTTAAAGTAAAATAATTATAAAATTATTTTATTATTGATACAATTGAAATTACAAATCAAGAATTAAGAATCGCGTTAGCAAAACTGTCTCTATTATTAACAATTATTTCTCGGTCATAGAATTTTGCGAAAGTTTGAGAAGTTTCTGTCCACCCTGCTGTCGAGCGCAAAATATCTATACCGACGCCTTTGCGTTTTGCAGTTGAAGTAGACGCGTGACGCGTAGAATGTGCAGAAAATATATAAATATCAAGACCACTTTTTTCTAATATGTACTTAACCCAATGACTCAAAGTTGAAGATTCAGCTGCTTTATAAGGTTTTTTGGAAGTGATAAAAAGGTAATCTATTCCATTTCGCAGTTTTTCTGTTTTTTCAATATACGTTTTCAGAGTAGACGCAGCACAAATTTTTTCATTGATTGGAAAGTATGGTAATATGAGCAAGGGTTGATTTCTGTTACGACCCGAAGTTTTTATTCGTTTTGGTATTTTAATGTGAATGGTTTTGTCGTCTAGCTCTTCGATATTTTCTAATTCTATCAACGAAAAAGTTTGCATGCGATGACCGGTAATCAATGCCAGCAAAGCAATAAGTTTTCTTCCGAGATCGAGTACATTCAAATCGTTGTTGTTTGGTAAAGAGGTGAGATAATCGAGAACAATTTTTGGATCCCATGTGATGTCGTATTTGGGTTTTGACGGTCTCAAGTTGTAACAACCTTGAAAAAACCTCATAACTCGGTCGTCTTGAGCCATTTCTTTACCAACCAACAACGAGATAGCCGATCTATAACAATTAATTGTTGTGGAGGCTAGTTGGCGATCAAATAATTTGGTTAGGAAAATCAAAGTATGAGAAATGGATATTGCAAATGGATTAACGTTGTTATCAACGCAATAGGACCACCATTGTTTGAAACAACCTTCGTATTGTTTATAAGAAGACTCGGAAATAGATGCGATCGTAACTTCTAGGGCAGCTTTCGGAGTTCCCCTCAACTCGTACGCTTTCCGGACAAGATTCCGGCCACCAGGGTAACTTTGTTCCAAAATTGATCTAATTCTCTGTTAGCAAAGAAAATGTTGTGTTTAGCTTGAAGTTTCAGAGGTTTCGATATTAGGAGTTCAAGGAATAATGGGTACCAGGGCTGAGCCGGCCACTCTGGTACGATCATTATTTCTTTTGCCTTTTCGTCTCTTATTTTTTGTAAGCATTTTAAAATGATGGAAAATGGCGGAAATGCATAGAAAATATATTTTTTCCAATTTATAGTGAAAGCATCGATTGCAAAACAATCTGGATCTCTTTTCCAAGAAACGTACTTTGCGCATTTTGTATTTACTCGCGAAGCAAATAAATCAATTTCGGGGAAACCAAGCTTATCAATAATATATTGAAAAGCTTGACTCGATAATTGAATTTCTGAAACTGACTCTAATCTGCGTGATTCGAAATCAGCTACTACATTTTCTTTGGAAGGAATATAAGTTGCGAAAATCCAAATTTTTCTGTCTTCGCACCAAGACCAAATTGATCGCGTTATGTCATTAAGGTTTTCGAATTGAACACCACCCATTTTATTAATGTATGCGATGGCCGTAGTGTTATCAATGTGTAAAAGAATTTGACAATGGTGGTAGTTATTTGCAAATGACTTGAGTCCGAAGAACGCCGCAAGTAGTTCCAAGTAGTTAATGTTTTCACACATTTCACTCTCTTTCCAATGCCCAAAAACTTTTTTACCTCCGCTAAAAGCTCCCCAGCCTGTCAAAGACGCATCACTAAAAATCTCAACTTCAAAAGAATTGTTTCTTATAGGTTGATAAGGTGTAAATGATTGAGATGTCCACCATGATAATTCATCGAGAATTTTAGTTGAAATTCTAATTTTCGCATCATAATCATTATTATTCCATAGAAGTGATAAGTACTTTTGTCTTTCACAGGCTTTTGTATGCACCATACCATAATTTACCGCCGGGCAGCACGAAACTAGGTAACCCAGTGTTTCAGCAAAATTTCTGATTGAAATGAGCTTGTTTTTGTACAATTTTTTAATGATTTTTTGAATGCACGAAACTTTCTCTTCGGGTAATTCAATCGTCATAGTATAAGAATTATATATAAAACCTAAATATTTACAGCATTGACTAGGTTTAAGATTGCTTTTGCGATTATTGATGATAAAACCCAGGAATTTAAGTAAGCAAATTGTTTCTTTAATATTTTCTTGACAAGATTCAAAAGAATTGCCGAAAATCAGAATATCATCTAAATAAATAACTGATTGAAATCCCAATTTTCGTAAATATGCTACTAAAGGTTTCATAATTTTCGTGAAAATAAACGGTGCTGTACTTAGTCCGAAAGGTAAACACGTGAATTCATAAAGTTGGCCATTAAAATAGAAACGTAAATATTTACGACAGGATTTGTGTATCGGAATGTGATAATATCCATCTTGCAAATCAATAGTCGCCATATAACAATCTTTCTCTATTAGTTTTTTAACAGAACGATTATCTTCTAATTTGAAATGCGGTGGCGATATAAATTGATTCAAATTTTTTAAATTCAAAATAAGACGATATTTCCCGTCTGGTTTTTTGCGTAAAAATATGTCAGAAATATATTGTCCTTCCGTAAAATTGCATTGACGTATAGCACCTTTTTGTAAAATTTCAGATAGCAATAACAAGACGTTGGATTTATCTTCCACAGACCAACTGCGCTCCGTTGGAACTATTTGTCCTTCCTGAAGTTCTCCCTCCGCGACGAGTGGTGCGGCGAACTCTTCCTCTCGTGAGAGCTCCGATGGTAACTGCGCGGTCCGCCCGACGACGACCCGTGATTCGTCTTCTTCGGATAACGGGGCGGACCCTTCGAGTTTTTTGAACGTCCTGAAGATTTATTTTTAGGCTTCAACTCTTCGGACGTTACTGCGATGGCTTTAGCAGTTTTCACAGACTCATCGAGCTTGTCACCAAAGAGGAAGGCACTAATTTCCGTCTCAGCTAGCGGTTTTCTAACTGCGACGTTAGAGTTTGCGATGATCAAGCTTCGCCGTATGCACGTCTCGTCGTGTTGTAGATCTGCCATTAGACTGCCAACATCGCCCAAAATTTCCAAGAGAGAATTGTTGGCTTGCGATGCCTCGAGACCCATAAGCATTTCAATTGCTTTTGCGGTGCCGGCCAAGCAAGCTGAAATTTTGGATTGTTTAACAGCAATACGGCAATCACGAGCAATTACCGGTTCCGTAACAGATGACTTGGATTCTGGATTGAGCTTGGGTGGATCCCAAAGAGGGTTGTTTAGCGGCGTTGGATATAACGCTGATATTTCAGAACGTTCTTACTCGGGAAGACCAGTTTTGACGATGTCGGTCCACCGTAAGGTTATCGGCTCGTTGACTGCTTCTGCGTATTGTTTGTTTTCAGTCACTCGTTTGCCCAGTTTCTTCACGATTTCAGCACGGGAGGTCAATTGGCTTGCGGCTGCATTGACGGGCTGGCCGCTTACGGACTCGTCGGGAGCGTCAGCTAATGTTGAATCGTCCGGTTTTCGCGCCGAGCCATCGTCTACAGGAGTCGGCACATGTCCATCGTGTGTGGCGGCACGGGATCGGTGAGATGCTCTCGACGAGCGCGACGAGGCACTGCTCGTAGAGATGACACTGCTGCGGGACGAGTTTTTGCTTCTAGCTGCAGATGAATCGGTCGCTATTAGACCATGTCTAATTTTGTGTCGTAACTTGATGTCAAGTTACGGAGCTTGTCGGTTAGCGCCGACAGCTCGTTCTGTTAACGTAATTGTGAGGGTTAGAGCCCAAACAAATACTGCGAGTTTCGACGATAGCCATCGTAATTTTTCGTATAGGTTAGAGCCCACGAAAAAATTATGATACATTGCAAATAATCAGGTTAGAGCCTGTTTGCAATTTTGAACATTGATGAATTTTTCCGCAACATGGGTTGGAGCCCAAGGGAAAAAATGCTGTAAAAAAGTTCGTCAATCGTACTTACAACGACGGTCGCGGCGGTCGCGACGGGCATGGTTCCTCCTCCCTTCTTTTTCCTCCTGTCTTTTTCGCAATTTCTTTTTCAGCCGATGAAGTTCATCCTCCAGACGTGCATCATAAGAGCTGTCTGAGAATGATGACGATGATTATCGTCTTTTGCGACCCATTTTTACCAAGGATGATCGTGGCGAACCGGCCAGTTCGACACAAAACGAACGAATGAGGAAACGTCACCGCTCGCCTGATAACAAGAGAGTGCATGACACCAATACCTAGCTTCACAGCGGTTTGGAGCTTTTTACTTTGTGGAAATTCGGCCAGGTCGATAGGAATCGAAGGGACTACATGTTTTATCATGAGGAAGAGGCGCTATACAATATTATTTAGGATAAAAAACGTTGATTAGTAAAAATCAGATTTTTTTATATATTTTGTTACATATTTTATTAATATTTTGTTAATAAAATTATTTTGTTATTACATAATAAAGTTGATTTATATTATTTTATTTTGCAGTCCATTAGATCATAAATGGACCTTTTACAGTCGATTGTATTTTTTGACCTCGAATTTAGCTAGAGTCGGTCTTTTTACATAAATAAACTATTCAACCTAATAAATTTGCATGATTTTATACATTCAATGAGCGTAAAGACAATATGGTGTACTGTAAATGTAACCGGTCGAAACTTTTTCAGCATTGGTGGAAAAATTAGGAACATAATTTTTTTCACATTGTATGTTATCAGAAATATGGAAAAAAATTTTGGTACATGTGCACTAAAAATTAAGAAATTGATATGTTTTTTCTTAAAATTAGAAACTTCCTGAGATTTGGTCATATGTGTGTCAGTTGAAAAAGTTATATTTTACCTCAAGTTTCGTTCCCGAGGCCGAGTTTAATTTATTACTCGTGCTCTATAGCACACGATACGTTTACATATTAACCGATAGTATATATTAAATAGAAGTTTACATATATTTTTCCAGTTTCTAAAAACAAATAGTAAAAAAGTGACAAAGCAAAACATTTTTTTTCTCAAAATTTAACAAATTATCGTTAATTTAAAAATTTTTTATAAACTTTTTATTAGAGGTACACATGTCTAAGCTATATTTTTCTAATATTTATGTGCCCTAACATAGTTCAAAAAATTACCAGCGTTCGAAACCTTTCGATAAAATAATAATAGTGCCAGAAAGATTAGAAATTTGTAAATCATCGATTGGCTCACTAGATTTTCAATAAGTTTGGGGCTATTTTCAATGAGTAATGATTCGGGTTGACTGTAGGTATTGAGTAATTCTCATTATAACATATATATTCTTTTCCAAAAAAAAGTTGAAGTTTGGAAATTACTAATATTTATAGGCAGAACTGTACATCATCACTAAAATGAAAAATTCCTGAAATATACCCATATTTGTTAGACAACCGCGAAAGATAGCGATCTGGAAGTAAGATGACAAAGGAAACAAATGGTGATATGTATATATTGCTCATTTACTATGAAGTTGCTTTGGCTAATATGGTGCTGCGTAATTTCTTGAAAATTTTGTCAGAAATTAAATTTTGTAAATGTAAATATAGAGTCGAAAAAGTGACGCGCGAATAGATAAAAAATTATACAGTGAAATTGATTACTGAAAGTGAAAATTTTAAAAGTTTATTTGTGAAAAGCACTACTCCAAATGAACCGAACTTTCAGTATTTTTGTCAATGAAATACATCTATTGATATAAAGATATTGTACAAAAAGTATAAAATCGTAGACAAATATATGTTAAAATATAAAGAAAATGTAATTGTCAGGCGCAGCTCACGGTTCAATCTATTTAAAAAATAAAAAAGGAGGAACGTACTTAATTGAAATTTTGCTCTTTAGTGAAATTCTGTTACATTATTGAATTTGAAATTCTAACTAAATCTACGAATATGATTTTAATTGAATTATTTACAAATTAATATCGACGGATGTTATTTTGTTAAAGTATAAAATTGTTTGCTGATGTGGTGTATTTTAGAATTTCGTCAATTAATAGTTGTGATTTGATTCAAGCATATTGAAACATTTTATTTGTGATCTGGTTGTATGAGATATTATATGTATCTGATATGAGATATCGCATATTATACTACGCTCTTATGTAGTGTTAAATAAGCATAGTAATAAAACTTAACAATAAAAACTCAATAATTAAACATCAAAGATAAAAAATTAAGACCCGATTAAAAAATTCAATGCAAACACATCATTCCATTGATAACGTTTTATCAATCATTTTTGGCCTCTTATAAATTAATTTTTATATGTACTCATAAAATAAGAAAATAAAAGTAATATTCCTTTGAAACGTAAGTCATTTCGCTAGTTTGCTAGAATTTTATTCACACTGCTTATAAAAGGAATGAAATCTTTTTTAATAGCAATAATATGTTTGATATTCTCTTTTTACTATCTTTACGGATTAGATTTCTGCGCTAACCTTGATAACCGCTTGAATGGAACAAAAGATAAATCCATAGTTCGACATTATTATCGATGAAACTTACTTTTAGCAATTTCTTTGTGCTTTTATTTTGTGTAACAACATATGCATCAAGTATTTTTCCATCGACAGCAGTAGAAAAAATAAGTTAGCTCATTTACTCTACTCGTATATGGATTATAATCACTTACCTAATAAGGAAGATACCCCAGATTTCCTTCGCCAATTTCAGCCTTTTTTTAAATTAGAAGATTTAAAGGATGAAACCACTTCTTAAAGTTATAAGTGTTAAGAGATAGTTTTAAAAATTTTATATTTTTCTACTAAACTATCTTAAAAATCTATATTACAAAATAATGTTGGAAAATGTCAAATAATTTATAAGATTTAATTTATTTTGAAGCATAAATAAAAAAATTATTTATAATACATTTTATAGAAAAAAAATTAAAAAAGTTAATTATGAGTAAAAAAAATCTAAAAAGAAATGTATTTCACGTAAAAATATATCTTTTATATATGAGTGATTCCCTAAATTTTTCAAGCAAGTACGAGTGATTTGCAGTATAGCCTCAGCATTATGAGTATTGAGTGATGACGTATCTTTGTTAAAATATAATCAAGGCACACAGTTTCATTGATTTTGTATGTTTTGCTAATGATAAATAATCACAATCCGCTAAAATTATGTAAAAATTTTGTAATTGTTGTTGGTACTTATACAGAATATTTTAATTCTTAAAATGATAAAAAAAATTCTTTGATTCTATCTTTCTGAAAATCACGTAGAAACTTATTAAATAATTATACTTTTAAGCAATATTGGTTATATCGGTGTGCCTGTTAAAAAAAGTATATGACTAAAATGCTGGAAGTACAAACATTTATAAGCAAAATGTTCAATAAATAACATATACCCACACTCACATACACACGCACGCGCGCGCACACATATATAGATATCATAGGAAAGTCTATAATGTTAAACGTGCATGGTCTCAAAAAAACATGTAAACAGCTGACAGAGTTTAAAAATTATATGTCAATGCTTTATTATAATTGTGAACGTTAATTTCAAATGTACACTAGGTAAAAATTATTAAAAATTTATTAAAAATGTATATTTTCTCAAATTTTTCATCCATATAAATTGACTGCATATGCGACAGATAATTACATTTTGATTATAATAACGCATATTAAGGCACAAAAGAACATAATTTACAATGAGACATATCGTAATTATTATTATAAATACCAATAATAATTATCATTTTTGATAATTTACATTTTTCTACTCTATAAACATTACACGTTAATTAAAAACGAATGCAATTTATGCTATGAGAAAGTCAAATTAGAAAAAAAGTTATTGTTACAAAAAAGTTGTTAAAACAAAAAAGTTGTTTAAACAATAAATTAATGTACAGAGATCAATTTATCAATAAAAATGGTATATGTCTGTCTATAATTGTAATATATATGTATATAAAATAGTTCATCATATTGTTAAATATATCTTTTGACTTAATAAATACATTTTATTCACTTGTATACTTTTGAATTATTTTTACATAGCTGAAAAAACCCTTTTATTAATATATTTTTCTATGATAACATTAAAAATATTATACACATATTTTTTAGGGTTCTTATGTATCTTATTATACGTAAAATTACATTTCTTAGATGTACCTTTATTTTGTTTGTAATTTTTTATATGCTCGAAAGTAAAAAAATCTAGGGAATTCTTCATATACATATATATCTATAAGTAATATTAAAAAAATGGAATCTTTTTTCGAAATAATATGAGGGTGGATCAATAAGTTCTTAGCAAAAAATAGAAAAACAATTTATTTCGGGTAGATTTTTTTTATTTGTCAACATAATCTCCTTTTAGCTCGATATACTTTTGAAGGCATCCTTTGAGTTTTTTAAGCCATTAGAAAAAAAAATAATCTTGAAAGTTTTTTAAAATAGTCATTTGTTTGCCTCCTCATACGAGATGAATCGTTGTCACTAGGGGCCAAATCTGATGAATACGGTCGATGGTTTACTAATTTGAATTTAAATTCCCTAGTTTTGGCCATTGAAATAGCTGAGATTGAATGAGAGCAAGTATGTTCTCGTTCATTATCTCGATGGAACAAAATTTTGTTTTGTTTAAATAAGAATGTTTTTTTCTTATTATCTCGCTTAATCGGTTTAATAACGACGCACAATACTTTCTGGTGATTGTTATTTTTCTAAATAGTTGACGAAGATAATGTTAATAACTTTCTCGTCAACGTAAAATTTATTGTCGTTTTTGTCTATATTGGGTATTGAGTTGAATATCAAAAACTTGA